TCACTGGTAAACATCTGCATGATGCCAGATCACAGTAACAAGAAAATAAATTCAGCAAATAGGCAGAAAAAACCCAAACATCAACAAATAGTCTTACAAACTGTCAAAGTGGTGTCAGTACACACATATGTATACACATTGAATATCATGAAAATCAGACACCTCGACAAGAATTAAAGGACTTCAGAAGTTCCAGTGTGCTGCCACTGAGTAACTTTCTTTTTAAACTGAAAGAGCAATAAGAAAGAGTCTTTTAAAACAAGAAGGGAGGGTGCTGCAGAAACTCCCCTTTTCGGTGTGTGCTCCTCTGGTCAGCAGTCCTCACTCTGCAAGCTCCTGCTTCTAGCCCTGGTGCTGCAGAGACTGCCTGCAAGGGATCTCCCCACCCAGAGAGCTGCCCTCGGCGTGGCTTCACCAGGGACACAGAAACCTTGTCATGCAGAGGTCGGTGCATGGATGTGTCTGTGTGTCTGCTCTACCAGCAGGTCCCTCCCTCCCTCTGAAAGATCCTGCTGGAGCTGAGGTCCTTCCCCTGGTGCAGTCAGTGAAACCAGAGGACTTTACGGATGAGATTAAGAGAAACACCTAGGACCAGTCAGAATAGCAATATTTACAGAGAACTGTAAAAATCCTAGCAAGAAATGACCTTAAACCCATCTCCGGAAAGTCTGAGCTAGTAAGTGGAATGCTTTTTTTCCTAAGAAAACTACTTCTGAGAAAGCTGCAGGCTAACTGCTATATGTGAGAAAAGTAAAAATGCCCAGGGTAGTAAGCCTGAGGCACGTACCATGGCCTGAAGCTCAAAGCAGCAAAACAGGCCAATGCACACATAGCTGCAGGGGAAGTTTGCAAACAGGCTACGATGTGTGCTCGCCTATGCAAAGAGCAGCCAGGGTTCACCACACCAGGACCACTGTGGAGCCATCCTGCAAACAGCTGATGTGAAGAAAGTCAGTTGCCTGCTATTACGGTCTAGTGGAAGGTGTCCCTGCCTAAGACTGGGGGTTGGACCTAGATGATCTTTAAGGTCCCTTCCAACTCAAATCATTCTGTGATTCTATGATTACCTCCAAGCAAGCCCTTTCATCTGTTCTGCATATTGTTATTTTCAAAATTTACCTATTAGCCCGATACTATCAAAAAAAACACAGGAGGGAAAACTTGCGGAAGTTTTAAATATTTTCAAGCAGCCACTGCTCAACCAAGCAGGCAGTTTGAAGCTGAGGAGTGATGTACTCCATCAGAGTCACAAAACCAGCTCAGTGCCTGGTATTGGTTGTAATCTGGGTAACTCTTATCACTATTATGCCCAGCTATTGAGAAACCATCTTATTTCATTTCATTTCTTAGCAAGCATAATGTTATTATGAGTTATTTCTCCAGGAGTTCCCAGAGGCATCAGAGAAGATCTCATAACAGAAGGCATTGTAGGGACATGTAGGAAGACACAATCTCTTCCCTAGGGAAGAAGTTGCAAGAAATATAAAACAAAGGAAGATTAAACAGAAAGTCCTAACCTTGGCTAGTGCCTTGTTATCACAGTGAAGCTCTGTTCTCCATTGGTAAATATAGCATAAGCAGAAGTTACTTACCCATGTCCTAATTCTACCTATGAGATGAAAACAAGATTACAATCTTATCTCTCGCACAATTTACATGTCATGTAGCACAGCTTGATCAAGAACAGTCAATGAAAATATGCTGTTTCTCATTACCCAAGGTTCTTCGAAAGTAGTATGAATATTATGTAAAAAGAAAGAAAAGACTTAAGGTCTTAAATAATTTACCTATGCTGATTTTGAGTTCTCTTATGCTAGTTATCTCATGCTAACAGAAGAACTCAGGCCTTGCAATCACTACCCAAATGATCCCTTTGATTCACTTCAAATCAAAAGCTTGTTCATGCAAGCTATCAGGTGGAGGACTGTGCCTGAGCGACCTGGAAAGCAAAGGCAGCATATTCAGGACATCTGGAAAAAGAATTTTCTCATTGCCCAGACAGTCATTCAGCTTGGGGGATTTTTGTTTAATTTTTTTTTTCCCATAAGAAAAAAAACAAACAAGGCATGAAAAAAGAAAATATATGTGTCCTGGACATTCTCACTATTCAACATTAGAAGTGTTTCATTTGTACAAGGACTGATCTGGTCCCATGGACCGATGGCTCCTTTCTACCTGGAGAACTTCTGTTGTACTCCTGGTACACACCTCCTGTTAAGCTTCATGAGAGATTCAGTTCACGAGCTCCATGACTGCTCCATGGCAGTAACCACGACAAAGTAAGCAAGAATAAAACAAGAATAACTTAAAAGATTCACTTCAGAAGTGTGCTTCTGATCCAAACTAAAACACTACTGTAGATGCACCCTAAGACCAAGTGTTATCACTTACCCACTAGATTGTATTTATGAAATATATTTGTAAATGCTTTGAGTATGTTCTGCTTGACAGCATATAGTTACTCTTTTTTCAAAATAATGTATGGTCAACGGAAGTTAAGAAGTGCTTTTATTTTGGAATCTGGATTCAGAATCTGGCATTTGTTAACCAGAGATAAGTAAAAATCTTGACCTCTACCTTCAATGGTATGTCTGATTTTTTCACAGTTTTCCTTCATTAAAATACTGTGATTTCCTGAAGAAACTGGCATTTTAAAAAATATATAATTATTAAAATGTATTATAAAATGCTCAGAGTAATTTTCAAGAAGAAAAGAATGACAGAGAAAAGCTGAACAGTATGAAAAGAATTTTTATTGTGGCTGGTGGGACCTCCT